CGCGGATTTCGATCTCTTTGCTCGAAGCTCCATTTTTGGAACTATTTCGGGGGATTGTTTCTTGGTATGTGACTCCTCCGTTTGTCCAGTTAGTTTTTGCTTTAATGGTTTATATTTTGAATAATTAGCTACTCTTGGTGCTGTTGTAGATGAGCTTGCATGTTGAATTCATAGAGTTTTAAGTAGTTTGAATGCTTGCTATGGCCTCTATGCATCCTTATGAGTAGCTGCTACCAATATCGTGAAGTTTTGTTGAAAAAATTTTGTGGACTAAAATTTTCAGAATTTTGTTCATAGGAAAAAATGAGTATCTTTAGGAAGTTTTCTTCCAAGAAAAACTCCAAGGGGGTTATTGGGGAGTCGTCTGACAGTGATCTCCATGCCCGGAGATTGGCAGAAGTACGGTTGTGCGAATGGCCGCATAACCCATTCATGGAAGGGGCCGAAATCCTTCAAGAGTTTGTACAATATGCTGCTAATGCCGGCCTCACCGACTTCATCGCGGCTGAATGTGAATAGCATCATCTCCTCACAAACTCCTTTGTGCAAAGTTTTAATTTTCTTCCTAGGAATAATCCCCCGAGGTGCAGTTTAATTTATATGTTGAGCCCCATCAAATACCGCTTACTGAATTTTGTGACATATGCTTGCTTCCTTCTGATGGTGGTTTGGTAGAGCCTAGGCCCACAGAGTTTAATGGTTTTTACCATACTCTGACAGTGGGAGATGAGAGAGGGGTTGTCGAGTATCACCGCCGCTGGCTTGCATTTTCCCGCTGTTCATTATTTCACTCTTTTCATTGCAAAACGCTTGCTTGCTAGAGAGAAGGTGGGTGCACTCAGTGCCCAGATTTTGCTGTTTTACTTGACTGAACTTGTGTTTGTTCTTGGTACAGATCAACTCATAGGAAATTATACTTTACTGGTCTTTTTTTATTGTTTATTAAAATAAAGTTTTTTAATAGTCACCACATGCGTCTTCATGGTCGACGGGACACCTACTCTCACTGACGAACATCAATGAAAAGCCTTAAATAAATAAAGAATGTGAGCACCGGTGACAAGTCTAAGACTTAAACAAGTCATCACAGTTTGCTATTAGGCTAAAAGATTTAAAGAGGGGGAAAATCATGAACTCATCGTGTCATAGTATTTGTTTTGACTGACACATACAAAATGTGCATTGAGCATGCTGGATATTCGAACATGGCCAGGTACTCGGATCCAACTAAAAATGTCAACTAAATCAAAATGTTTCTATGTCCTAGCCAGAGTGTGGTGTGGATAAAAGATAATGACCTCAAAAGAAACTGGAGAAGGTGCAATAATGTTTTTTACCGCCAATGAAACCCGAGAATGCTTGTTGGGACATGGTACCAGGTGAGGATGGAATCCCAGAGCACCCATCTATCATAATCATGCAGAACGAATACCGAAACTCACGTACAACCCGAATACACATATCTACTTGTTTGTATATATGTCGTGTACCACCAAACAACAACATGTACACACTCCTCTCTTTAACATCAACCCCAGTCGTTGCCCCATCTCTCTTATCTCCTCACTCACCCCCTTCTCTGCTCACTCAACCTCTCATCACTCCTCTCTGCTTCGCACAGATAGTTCATCCCACATTTCCATGTGTTCCTCCATGACCTGATCAAGCTCCGCGCTACGTACCTCAGTCGCATCATCATATGGACAAGATTGCACAACTCACGCTAATCTAGTGCTCTGAATGTAATCTGGGATGTGTGTCTTGGTTTGTGTTTGTGACACGATGGAAAATCCAGGAAGGCATTTCTACAAACGCGAGCGGCGGGGTGTAAGTTTTCTCACCAAACAAACTCTCCTTCATCTTTGAGATTTAACCAATGTATTTTTGCCCTCTCTCTCCAGGTTGGAGGTTCCCTGTTCCAAAAGTGGGAGAACAAGTACATCACCCTCCTCGATACGCCCACACCGAAGCTTGTATGAGAAGGAACTTGGTGGTTGATGAATGCCGTGTGAGGATATTCTCTATCCACTGACTGTATCTAGCGGGAAGGAAGAGCTTGAGGTACATAAATTTAAGATACATCTATGGCTAGCCTACTAAATAGGGCAGGTTGGCCATAAAAGTGTTTAAATCTATGTATCTCAAGTGTGTCTCGCGAGGAGAGGAAGTGACACACATGACAGGCTGGTCATAGATGTGTCTTAATTTTTTGTATGAAGAGTGTCTTTCATCTCTCCAGATATAGAGGTAGTGGGCAAAGGAGATCCTCACACAATTGTCGTCAACCAAACTTTTTCATACTGGATTTTTTGAAATGCTCACGAGCAGAAAATGCCACACATGACAGGCTGACCATAGACGTGTCTTAAATTTCTATACCTGAAGTGTCCATCCTCTCACTAGACATATAGACAGTTGACAAAGGAGATCCTCACACACGTTTCATTAGCCAACAAGTTCCTTCTCCTCTAAGCTCCTGAAGCACTTGGACATGGGTGCGTCGAGAAGGAAGGTTTTTTCCTCTGCACATTGTACTCATTAAATATTTTCGGTGAAAAATTTAGGGGCAATTTGGTTTCTAACCATAATTTGTCACACTTTAAGTTAGGCAAGTTTCATCAAGTTATGTGGTCTTCGTTCTAGCCACATCTAAGGTAAGATATTTTTTGAGAAATAAACCCCACATGTCATACATATAGAAAGTGGCAATATTTTCTTAGACAAGTCAAAGTGTGACTAAGAATTTAAGCACTAAGATAAGTGAAATGTGGCAAAATTAAGGCCAGTTCTTTTGGCCGATCTTGAACCCTTTTCAGCTTCTCTCAAAATCTCCAATCTCATTCGTTTGCCTATCTTACATAGTTAGGTCTAACTAGGTAGGATTGTCGGCTTAGATTGTCAAGCGAATGGGTGTTTGATGATTTTGGAAGAGTCTTCTAACTAGCTAGTTAAGGTCCTTTAACTAGGTAGGTTTGTCAAACACTAGTAAGTGTGCACGTGCAACGCACGTTTCAAATATTGATCAAGTGAGTGTGAGTTAATGTGGTATAAAACTAAAATATGTTTTGCAAATAAATAAATTAAATGGATACAAGACAGCATGTCATTTAAATTGTATTTTAAAAAGTGAGACATCACTGTAATCCAACAACCAGATGAAGAATCAGTGTGTGGCCTCAATAACCAATGTTTTTACGCAAAATGATTTCTGAGATGAATTTACACACAACTAATATGTAAGTTCCGAGCACATGCAAGAGAAGAATTGAAGTTATGCATATATCTTACCCTGTTACCATCAGATGCAAGTGGACGACCAACTTAAGATCACTTGAGCCCAGAGAGCGGAGAATATTATTTTCAGATTATGCATCATTTAGAATTGCAAAATGGACCAAAGATAAGATAATTCATACATTGGATAAATTAGCAAAAGACAGCAATGGTGTAAATAGACATGGGACATCCCAAATATACATTGGATAAAATGCAAGGTGATAATAAGATTAGATCTGGTCACTTTATTCGAAAGTAGTAAGACTAAATCTCCCAAAAGAAAAATGGTTGTTCTGCCTATAAAATATATAATGCCGCCCCAGTTAAAAAAGGTAGAATAAATGATGCCACAAGTTGCATCATCGCCCATCCTAACTGCGCTATTGTATCCATTTCAGAATGGTAAGCAAGCAAGTGTGTCGGGTAGCTACATGAGTATAAACTTTAGTGTGGTCGATGATACCAGCAACCATCAAGTCTTCGTACTACCGAACAGAAGGATTGCACGCTTGCAGCTAGAAAGAACCTCGCACGACATCATCTTTTATGCAATTCAGATTTATGCAGAAATATATGAACTTCATATTAGCAAATGAGATCTGACCTTCTCGGTAAAAATGATGTCATTGACACCGACATTCTTCGCAATCAGTTTGAATAGAAAAACCGAAATGTTCAATGGTTCAACATGATTGTTTGTGACCCACAATTGGTGGACCGTGTTGGCTACGAGTATTAGGAGCATTGGGCAATGCCAATGTTTCTTTTACCTTATGCAACCAGGGTATCCTTGACACATCTACTTTAGCAACCAATTTGAAAAGAGTGCACACTCCACCAACAACAATACCTTCCTCAACGGCAGCTTGCGAAAAGAAGAAGCAATTCAGAAGGTTTAAGGAAGCAACAAACTAATTGCCTTATTTCTGCTTCTTTGAAAAGCAAATACAAAGTTGACAACTCGAAATGTTCAATGACAAAACATTGATTGACTCACCTAGTTACATTAGAGCATCCTCAACTCTCAACCTCTCTTTAAGTTCGGTTTATGTTCGTCCTCCCACCTATCAAGTCATGGGTTACATTTCCCATACCATCCTTCCTTCCAACAGGTTATCAAGGAAAAGAGCAGCATGTCAAGAGATAATGCCCTCCATTAATACCTGAATGACAGCGACACCACCGGCCAGCTTTGCTATCCTCTTGTTCAGTTCTCCTTCTCATAGTCTAGTTTTGCTGCCAGCAAATTAGCAATGATAACTTAGAATCAGACTTAAAGTCTACGACGCGTTCTAAGTTCGCGATAAATAAAACAACTACACAAAGAGGTCATACAAATAGATTTAAAATCAACTCCCAGGATGAAGCCTTCAAGAATTTCTAATCAAGGGAGGCATAAAGAAAAGAAAAGGAGGCATAAAGTGTATTGTAATACGAAGAAATTTCTAATCTGCATCTACTACAAAGCATGATAAAATGGAGCCTTCAAGAATTATGCTTCCAAGTCAAGGGAGGCATAGAGAAAAGAAAAGGGCCGTACCTCATTGAGATTTTCTATCTGTGCCACCCTCTTAGTCACTTCTTCCTGGGCTACATGAAACCTCTGTTATGAGTTGTGAATGACAGATAAAGCAACAACAAGGAGGTGATAGAGATATAGCAGATCAGAACCATTTTAACATAATGATAAATCTCTACAAGATTCCTTTAAATCAAAGGAGGTATTTTTTAAGCATTTTGTAAGCAGGTTTGATAGCGATCCATATACATACCAATATGCACAACCATAGGCTCGCGCCGGTGCCATGCGCTGCCTCTCGCCGGAGACCGTGGCCACCGGAGGTTCACCGTTGAGGCCGTCGCGCCTCTGCCCTTCCTCCTCTCCCTTCCATCCGTTCTTCTCTATCTCCTCACCTTCGAAGCTCTCTCTCCCCGGAAACGCAGCAGACCATGGAGGAGCTCAGCCGCCACCGCCGTCCCTCTGACTCGCCGGCGCCGCCCATCGTCGACCCGAACCGCCTGCCTTCCGCCAGATCCACGCCAGCCCCGCCGGAGTGCACGCCTTGGCCATCACCGTTCCCTGCATCGAGTTGCCGCCGCCGCCCCGCGTTGACTGCATCGCTTGCCTGCGCCTGGGCAATCGCTCTAGCCGAAGCACAATCTTTGGTTGGATGGAGGGTTGGGAAGAAGAGACAGCGCCGGAGATGGAGCAGTCTGCGCGGACATCAATTTCCTTTTTTCTGTGGGCCTTGCGTGATTGGAGGAGGGATTACAATGCGGGTGCGTGATCATAGGGAGGCCGGACCGGTAATTCGAGGGAAGGCTTTTGGATGGTGGAGTATGGTCAGTCATCGAAAATTGCCAAGTCCACACAATGAAGCTATTAGATCAGGGATGATTGTTAGATTGAGATTTGTGGGTCTAATCGTACGGTGTTTATGGTTCGTGCGGTGTTATGGGGCTAATTGTGAGGTACATCTGAGAAAATTCTTGTTTGATTGTTTAATAGTAGTATAGATATAGATATAGATATAGAAGTATAGATATAGAAATGGATGTTAAAAATTCTGGAAGAAGATGAGGAGAGGGCTGATTCTGAATCAGCCAAGAGAACTAAACCAAACATGCCAAATTCGTATTCTTCTTGGTCCCTGACATCATATTACCATTTTGCCCCTGTGGAATGGTTGGACTCAACCCGTCATTTGCGACCGCCGAAGGCCGAACACACCACACCGGAGTGTCGTGCCGCCCGTCGTTCCGTCGTGAACAGCAGGGGAAAAGCGGCGGCGTTCCTCCCAGCGGTAACGTCCCCCGTATGCTCCGCCCCTCCATTTTCTTGAGTTGAATGCGAGGTTTCTTGATTGCATAAACCCTAGTTTTGAAGTGGGGGTTCCGTTCGCTCCACGTCCCGCCGCCTCCACGCACCCGCTTGCAGATGCAGCTGCTCCTGCGCTGTGGCTCTCTCCTCCGTCTCTACGAGTACGGCTGCCAACCCCCCTTATATGCATTTGCAATTTCCTTTTGTCGATTCGGGTTCTCCGCACGCCGTAGGGCAGCAGCTTTCGATTCGGGGGGATAAAAGAAGGGGTGGAGTTCTCCCCACTAAGGAAGTGTAGATCGAAAGCAAGTTTATCGGGGGCTCAATGGTGTTTCGCAATGTGCTGCCTAGGCTTGCCGTCATGGTGCAGATGGGGCTTTAGTATTTTTGTTCTTTTTGTGAACAGCATCCAGTTAACTCCTTTTGTGATTTGTATGAATTGCCGAAGACATTGTTAGCCAGTAGTCACGATGTTTATTTAATTTTCTGTGCATTGAGGAGATTGGCATGGTCATCGTGCATATATGTGGATCTAAATGTCTCAAGAGTCACTTAAGATGTTTCTGCAATACATGGTGAAACAACTTGTTGTTTACAGGCGTAGCGGTGGGCTTCCAAGAACAAATTACAGTTGCAGAAAATTAGTGATTCCAATACTAAACGTGATGAGTGAGAGGACGCGGATTACCTATTCACGTAGAGCTGTGTCTAAGAACAGTGAGATCAAGAAAGATGAACAAACAGTCATAGAAAAGGTTAGTATTGTATATACCCATTGTGCTGACATTTGTCCTTTATACATCTCATGGTCAGAAATTCATGTATTTTTTGGAACCATAGGAAGATGACACTGAAAGCACATTGGAGATAGAGCGAATCAGAGGTGACCCTAGTATGCTCCAATCCATGACAGTGAAAGAACTCAAGGAACTCACAAGGTTCAAATTTTTCCTAGCCTCCCCTTATTGTATGTTTCTGATAATTGATTTATCCATTTAGTTTTGTATGCCATGAATTTGAAGGAGGATGGGAGTTGCTGCGAGAGGTAACAAGAAAGATTTGGTATCAGCTCTGATGGAATCTCTGGGTGAGGAAGTAATTGGTATGACTTACTTGCAGACTTCTAGTGGTACCATTGAACTAAATTCATGCTTTCTTTGTATAAACTCTACATGTACCTCAACAACCTCCTGATTCAGTTATGACTTCTGCCCTAGTAATATGAGACAATGTTCAGTTTTTCCCGAGAAATTGTATCGTAGGTAGCCAGAAGAATACAATCAGTACGTGTTAGTGTATACATCTATATAGTGTTGCAATAAGCATTTTGGCTGGATGCTAATTCTTTTTCTGCAGGTAAAGAGGGAGCATCAACCATTGAGCAGATTGGCCCATCAGAAGTACCTTCAAAAAGAAAAGGTGCCGCTTCAGTAGTGGTTGAACAAAAGCTAGAAACTTCTGAAGTTATTTCCGCAACTCCTAGCAAGAGAAGTAGAACCAAGCAGAAATCAATTAAGGGCACCACTCCGGAGGAGAACCCTGTGACTACTGTCAAGATAAATAAAACATCACACAAGAAGGAAACAGTTGTTGGTACGCTCATTGTTTCACCAGTCTTGATCATTTCTGGGCTAGAAAATTACTGCTCTCTTGGCTAACTGTGGGATTGTCTTTCACAGCCAATGGTGCTATTGCAAAGGCGGGGTTGGGTCTTAATGTGGATGGTGCAGAGCCTTGGACTGTACTTGTACACAAGAAGCCACAGGCTGAGTGGATTCCATACAATCCTAAGGTCATGAGGCCTCCACCCCTTAGCAAGGATACAAGGGCGCTAAAGATTCTATCATGGAATGTCAATGGACTGAAAGCTCTAGTAAAAAATAGGGGCTTCTCTGTTCATGAGTTAGCACAGAGGGAGGATTTTGATGTGCTATGCCTGCAAGAAACGAAAATTCAGGCAAGATATTTGTTATTACAAAATGATCTTGTAAAGATAGGACAAGCGCAGTTCTGTCTCGCAAAGCTGGCATTTGCTTTTTGTCCTCTCTGAAAATTTTGCTGTACTTCATTCACTCGAATAGTTTATCAACACATAATTGCACTGTTTTGAGCAGGAGAAAGATGTTGACGTCATCAAGGAAAGTCTACTTGAAGGGTATACCAATAGTTTCTGGACATGTAGTGTGTCAAAGCTTGGCTATTCAGGGACTGCCATAATTTCACGGGTATGGACTGCCATTCTTGCACCCTAGCACCACCAATTTTGTCAGTGCTTCATAGTTCAAAACACTTATGAATTTTCATTGGTTTCTTCTGTTGTACTGTGTTTCAAGTTCAACCAACTGCAAGGAATACTGAATGGAATTGGAATAGAAAAACAAAGTGCCCAAATGCCCCCTTATCTAGGAATCACTCCATTATACCAGTTGGTTCAGCTCTACTGATACTGATGTTTTATTGGAATCTTTAACTCCAGATTACGTGAAACTTAGAAAGGAAATGACTGAAACATAAGCGGTTAAACGCTCGAGCTATTAGTTTGCTTCATAGTTATCCTTCCATGATATTAACACATGTCACCTGATTAATCATTGTGCTGTGCTTTCTGTACTTTTTTATGGATGTTAGACAAGGAGATCCATTATATCGTTGTGCTGTTTGCACTTTTTTGTACTGCTTCAGTTGATCATAAGGACACATTAACAAGTTAGGACTGTTTATTATCAAATACAGTAACTTTGCTTAGCATGCCTCTCATATTCCGTATCGCTTCATCATGTGTCCTGCACTTTTTGTAGGTGAAACCACTTTCTATCAAGTATGGGCTTGGTGTACCAGACCATGATACAGAAGGGAGGATTGTGACGGTGGAATTTGATGATTTTTACTTGCTAACCGCTTATGTGCCGAATTCCGGTGATGGTCTCAAAAGATTGGTAATATATTGCTGTAGTTTTCATTCTGGTATGCATCACTTGAGATTCGAATCTAATCCGTGATTATATGTTACTGTGTAGACTTACAGAGTCACAGAGTGGGATCCATGCCTTGGTAACTACATGAAAGTATGCTCGCCTTGCCTTTTACTTTTATTTATATTTGAAATAGTTTTCTTATGCCTTTATACCTTTGTCTGTCACGTTTGTTCTGGAAAAAGATGAAGTTCTGACTTTCCCCATTGATTCATATTGTTATTTGTCACTGCATTGATTTCCCCCATTCCTATTCTTAGTCCTTCTGTTCATTGGACATGTTCTCCAGTACAAGCAGTTGTGGTGGATATCTATTTTATCTGTTTTCTGTGGTTGCATTTAGGGTTGGTGTGTTGTCCTGTACATTTGCACATACCAAATCTTAGTAATAGCTATAAAGTGCTTTGCTAGAACTTTGGAGGTACATGCCACAGTTGGATGTTAAGGCCCCTAAAGTTTGCATGAAAACCTAATTAGGGCTGTGGACCTTGACATTGTTCAATCCAACATATTGGGCAGCTTTCACCATGCAGTATGCGCCATATCTCCATTGTTGTCTATTTTCATTCACTTACTTTACCTTAATCGAGTTAGCACATTGGAACCTCTCTGATGTTGTGTTTCTGTGCAGTTGATATCATGTGCAAAACTACGCTGTTAGTTAAAAATGCACGATTATGTTCAAACATGATGCGGCCCTCCTTCAGTTTATCATGTTTAACTAAACCTGACGAATTTCGTATGATTATGCAGGAATTGGAAAAATCGAAACCTGTCATACTAACTGGTGATCTTAACTGTGCGCATCAGGAGATTGATATACATGATCCTGCTGTAAGTAGTCGTTAGTTTGTATCACCTACATGCTTGAATGTCTGTGGTTCAGAAAATTTACTTTATGCTTAAGTATGTGGTGTATGCGCTATTCCACTGGTGTATGACCACAAATTTCATTTTCAAATCCTTGCTTATCATGTTACTAAAATGGCTCCTCCTGGACAATTACTGAGACTTGAACCCAACATCTCAGGTGTTAAGTTAGCCACACTAACATACAAGTACATCAATGTGTAAGCACTCAGTATACCGCTCAAAGGGTGATCTATATTATGCAAAATTTCTGCATGCTATGTATTTCAGGTTGTGTTTGTTATTTCATTGTCCAAATATATGCTTGTTAGGAATACAATTATCAAGATCCTTGTAAAAAAGTAGAGCTGCTGAGAAATCCTGGCCCAAATTGTGGAAAATAACCTTTATTGTGTTGTTATTGGACATGTTTTTGGGTGGCCTGTCAGTCTGTCACCTTGTCTAGATCATGGATGTGACGGCTGGCCTGATCTGTTTTGGTACTGATATCATTTCCACTCTGACGTCCTCAAACGTTCTGTGTTACATTTTCTTGTATTTGTTACCTTTTGTCCAGGGAAATAGTAGAAGTGCCGGCTTCACAAAAGAAGAAAGGAAATCGTTCGAGACTAATTTTCTGTCCAAAGGGTTCGTGGATACGTTTCGGAAACAGCACCCTGATGTTGTTGGATATAGCTACTGGGGTTATAGGCATAATTGCCGGAAGACTAATAGAGGTATGACCTCGATGACTCGAGCCTGACCTTACCGCATAAACCGGAAACCACTCCCTTCATTGTTTATATTTACTAGCACGATCTGTTAGCAACCATTTAGGCATTTTACATTTATACCCATCTATTGTTCAGTTGACAAATTTTGCTACATGTTTGATCATCCCAATGAGCCTCACTTGTTTCGTCATGTGGGAGGAAAGTATGCTCATGGTTTTAACATGTCGTCTTTGTCTGTTGGCGGATGCGCAGGTTGGCGCCTGGATTACTTCCTCGTGTCGGAGTCCATCGCAGAAAGAGTCCACGACTCATACATCCTCCCAGACGTTTCTGCCAGTGACCACAGCCCACTCGGCCTCATACTGAAGCTCTAGGCGAGTGGCTGATCCCCGGCCCTATGTGAACTTGCAATCTAACTTCTGGGGCTGGTCTCCGGCGTTGCTTGTTCCGGTTTGCGCAGATGATTTTGCGTCAGTGAAACAGTAGGTAGTACTCTAATGGATGTTGGCTGGTGGTCATTGTACCAAATCCAGGGCTGTAGCGTTATGACTCAGCATGAGCGTTTTGGGGCAATCCCTGTCCTGGCTATGTGTTCTGACTGACCTTTCGGACTTAACATGAAACTGTTCCTCTGGTAGTCTGGGTCAGATATGCTGTGCTGTGTTGTTCGAAGCAATTTTCTCAAGACTAAAACCTGTAGAGTATAGACTACATGGTGCATATCAGATAAGTGTGGAACATGCGCTAAAACAAGAGTCTATTCAGGAAGGAGAAATCTACGGTATGAGCTAATTTGAGTACGTACAGTGGTGTTGAAGGATCGTAAACAATAGTTCCATAAAAAAATTACGGTTTCATTTCGTAAAATATAACTTTTTACGGTAGGAGATATGGTCTTCGAGTGTACCTGGATAAAAATACAATAAGAGCAACTCCAACTGGCCGACCTAAACGGACGGTGATTTTGTCCGCTTTTTCTGTTTGGATCGGCTAGGCGGACACGGACGTCTTCTTTGTGTTTGGGTCGGCGTATGGGCAAGCCCAACACTTGCCCGACCCATTTTGACGGCGCCGACAAAAAAAATATTGTGCATGCATATTTCAAATGAAAACAACTTAATTAAACATTAAAGCCGGTCAGGAAGGCCGGCGAGAGTCCACGCGTCCACATTAGCATTAAAAGAAATTAGAAACAACCTAACTACGAGGCAGCGCGCTGCCCAGCGCGCCCTAGGCAACATCCTCGGGGTGGGTGAGGTCGATGAGCGTCGGCGCAGGGCCGGCCCAGGGGAACGCCGTGTTCCAGGCGGTGGCGATGTAGGCCGCGGGCAGCTGTTCCGGCGGGGGCAGTGCCGGCACGTGGGGCTGTTCCGGCCCGGGCAGTGCCGGGCGGGGGACTGTGCGGCCGCCTGTGCAGTCGCGGCTTGGCGCGCCTCCTCCTCGAGGTCACGCTCGAGCATGTCCTCGTACTTGCCGCGACGGCGCTCCTCGGTGAGCCATCGCTGGCGTCACTTCTCGAGGTACGCCGCCTCCTGCGCCGGGGTCGCCCTTATCCAAACCCGTGGCGCGGACACCCACTCGCGCACCACTCCCGTCCAGGAGAAGCGCGTGACGGGCTCCGGCTCGGGCTCGGGCTGTGCGGCCGCCTGTGCAGCCGCGGCTTGCGCGCCTCCTCCTCGAGGTCACGCTCGAGCATGTCCTCGTACTTGTCGCGATGGCGCTCCTCGGTGAGCCATCGCTGGCGTCACATCTCGAGGTACGCCGCCTCCTGCGCCGGGGTCGCCCCTATCCAAACCGGTGGCACGGACACCCACTCGCGCACCACTCCCGTCTAGGAGAAGCGCGTGATGGGCTTCGGCTGCGGCTCCGGGTCGGCCTTGACGAGCCGTCGGGGAGGGGACGGCGGGGCCACCGGCGACACCACGCAATCACCGGCCGCGGAGAGGGCGAGGGCCTGCGCCATGGCCGCCTCGTAGCGAGCCTCCTCTTCCTCCACCGTCTCCACCCTGCGCCGCTCGACCTCCTCGCTCTCGCGGTAGACCGCCGCAAGGGCCGCCTGGTCTTCCTCCTGGAAGATGAGCGGGGGCGGCGGCATGCTGCGGTCGACCTCCCGCATGCCGCGTCGCCTCGCCTCCTCGTGCTTGAAGGCGAACCACCTCGCCTAGTTAGGCGAGTCGGTGGCGCAGGCGGCGTCAACATTGCCCACCGGCGCCGCACCTCCTCCGCGTGCGCCCTAGCCGACCGCGGCGCCGCCGGCACTGGGATCCTCTCTGGATCCAGGTGCCAGTCGTGCGGCAGGGTGACGTCGGGGTATGGCAGAGGCACGCGGTGCTGCAAGTGCCACTCCGCCTGGTGCACTGGCACGCTCACTCGCACCCTCTGTCGGTGAGCCGGCGCCGGCGGAGGCGGTACGAACTCCGAGGGGAAAGGGACGGTGGGGGCCTTGCCCTTGGACTTGCTGTTGCCGGCGCCGGAGAAGATCTCCATTTGGCTAGGGTTGGCTAGGGTTTTTGCTAGGGTTTGCCGGCGACGGGGGAGCGAGCTTGCCTAGATGTGGACGGCCGCGCCGCACGGTCTGCTTAAAAAAGAGCGATCGCCGTCACTGACGCGTGGGTCCGTGGTCATAAATTAAGCTGACCGCGTGGGCAGCGGGTAGTTGGACGACCGCCAGATGGGGACGCGGCGGACAGCGAGAAGACGCGCGTGGCGTCCGTTCGACGTCCGCGCCGACGCATTTGGACCGTAAATGCGTCGGCGTGGGCACGGAGCAGACGTGATTTGAGTTTGGGTCGACGCGTTGGGCCATCACTTTTGTCCGCGTCGACTCAAACAGACGCGGACGGACAAAATGAGTCGCTCCATTAAAGTTTCTTTAAGAGTAGCATAGTACCAAATTCTAGCTGTGTGAAGATCTGGCTAGGCATCTTTGACGCCGTCCATCAACGCGAACGTGTTTGCGGACTGCGATAGCCGAGCTGGCCATCCAAACCGGTGCATCAAATGTCCGCTCTGGCCCAGCCTCTTCTATTTGACATGCATATGTAGATCAATAACAGTTTAGCATATGTAAATGTATGTTTGCAGCATATGTAAATATAAGTGCAAACATATACAATCACACCCTAAAAGCGCCGCCGGATGTTCACAAGTTTTTTACATGCGTCTAATCCTAAAAATTGTTAGTCCCACTATCCATGCAAAAAATTCTCATCTTTTTGCCTCCTAAACGGGTTGTTCCTGCCAAATTCTTCACTGTGCAACTGGCTCCTCCAAATCGGCCGTCAAACACTTCAACATCCTAGCATGATAGGCTTGCACGATCTTCACCGCATCAGGATCCAAGTTCGACATCTTCATGGTCAACATCTTGCGAAGGACGGCTCCTCCTTGGGCTTCATCACGGCCGTGGACGATGAAATGGGTGGGAACTGGGGTGGGTGGCGGCGACGATCGGAAGGAGACAATGGGAAAAGGGCGGGCTTTTCACGCGAAAAATAGTGTGGAATTGTCCAAATGCGAGGGCTTCGTCTCGGTTTTGGCTGGGCCAAGGTGTCGGACGCCTACGTGGCGGTTGTCCGGATGTCTTCAACGCTTCCCCCAGCTTAGCTCTCGGTTTACGGGAATTCAAACATGCGGACTGGTCTGCGGACATTTGATGCACGGCGTTGGATGACACAAAGTGTCTAAATGTTTAGTGGCGTTTTGATGGATGGTGTTGGAGGTGCCCTTATAGTTAGAGACAGATAAGCACCATCATGCCAGCCCCTAGCCACCATCAATGATCTCCTTCATGCCGCCGCTTCGGTCCTCGTCCTCTCCCATGTCTGGCGGCAAAGAGGAGTAAGACCCATTCATCTCGTTTTTCTTTTTCTTAAGTTCTTCTTGACGCCCTCACAAGGTGGTGGCATCCGATTCGGCGTTAATGAAGGGTCTGTGAGATTTTGTGTCGCTATATCTATTGGTTCTCTCCGGATCTGGCAGTTGATGAGTCTATCAAAAAGAACAGTTAGTCGGTTACTGGTGCAATGACTTCAACATCGTCTTCTTGTTGGTCTGCAATATGATCTGGTTTCTCCAACTCTCTAGACCGGTGGTAACAGAGTGCAAGCCTCCACTTTGGGTGATGCTCCAATCTACGCCTCTTCAACAGTTTTTAGATATGGTCTCAAAGTATATTATGATCTTTAAAGCCTGATATGACAAGGACGTTTGCATGTCCCTTTTCTTTATTGTTGATTTAGTGTGATTTCTAATTTCTAACGGGACAACATATAAACGGAGTAAGAAAAATACTAGCACCTCTGATCCATACCACTTGTCGCAACTTTAGTATGTATAATTTTATGTTTTTTACGGGTCGTTCTGTGTCTAATTGTCTTTTCAATGTATAGAATTGACTAGTGTTTTTCATAGCAATTATGGAATAATAACATACCTTTGGGTGTATTTTTCTTTCAAAAGAAAAAAGCTGAGCTTGCATACAAACTTCACTGGACTGACTGATAAATTAATTCTAAATCCCGAGCGCATCATACAGAGGATTTCGAATCTTTATGCTGTAAAAATTGTTTTTCGGACGGTTGATCTTGGGGACACGTGTACGCACGGTTCCTTTTTTTCTGAAATAATTATTGCTTAGGCGAGAAGTTTACTTCGTCCCTGGAAAGCCAAGTTACCGACTCACAGCTCACAGGGTCGGCGCTCGCCAAGTCCAATATAAGTGAGTTTAGCATGCCCAAAGGGGGAGGAAAGGTGTTAAACCCAGGGATCGTCTTCTCCCTCTTCTCTCCCCCCGTCCTCCTCCTGCGAACCCGGCGGCGTCATCTGCTAACCCTCGCCAGGACGGCGGCGCTCCGTGCCACTTCTCGCCGACTGTATGCACCCCCGTCCCCCGCCCCCTCCCTCCCCTCTCTCTCCTCACGAGCGAGCGCGTCCTCGTGTATTTCTCCCCGGGATTTTGCTTGGGGTTGGGGTGAAATAAACGCGTCCGCTGGCTTGTAGTCGTGTTCGTCGATTTGCTTTTAAGTAGAGGTGGTTGTCCACCGCGGAATCAGGCGCACATTGGATCGGCGGGGTCGTCTCTCCGCGCGCGTGTTCGTGATGTTGTTGCGGGTTTTTTTGTCGGGTATTCCTCGGCGGAATTTCCGTGGCTTCTGCAAGGAGAAGCATGGCGCTGGATTCGTTTATTTTCGACCGTCTATGGCGCTGGATTTGTAATACGTGAATGCTTATAGCCAGGCTTAATTGATTTTTCTTTGAAGTAGAAGTGGTTTCCTGCGTGTGCAAAACGATGTGGACAGTCGAATCGTGCTAATTTCGGATCCGGGATTTGGGAAACAATTCGGAGGAAACTCCTCCCTAGGGTTTACCCCGGCCCAAGGAGGCAACTCCCCCGATGCATAGTTTCGATCAGGCCTTGTTCTTATTTGGGACTGAATGCAGCTGAATACTTCTGGTCTACTCTAGGTAGGAAATCATGTTTCTGATTAGTTCTCATATTTTCTTATTTAGTTTATTTACCGGGGATTAGTTCGTTTATTTTATAAATGGTGCTTTTGGTTCAGATTATTGTAAGGCAGAAGATCCTTCTTCAAGGAATTATCGTTCTTCACATGACTGTAGCCTGACCTTTGATAATAGAACATTGCTTCTATGATCAAATATCACCTTCATTCTTGCATAACTACTAATTTGTTCTCTTTCAGAAAACTACCTAGTCTGTTCATGTTCTTGTATTGTTCAGACGTCCTGTTTTGTACTGATGGCTGCATGCACAGTTTTTGGAATCAGGCAAAGATGACGAGCAAGCAGGAGCCCTGGACTCGACTTTCCCACAGTACGAAGTTACCAGGATGGGTCGCGTACAATCCAAGGACCATGAGGCCTCCACCATTGAGCGGCGACACCAAGCAAATGAAGATTCTATCCTGGAATGTCAATGGGCTGAGAAATATTGTACAGTCAGGAGGTTTCTCTTCTGCATTGGCTCAGAGGGAGAATTTTGATGTGTTGTGTCTTCAAGAGACACATTTGAAGGCAAGTTCTCTTGTTTCCACCAGTTCAGTTTCACCTTACAGCGCTCCCTTAGGTCCTAGGTTATGCCACCTGACATGGTTGGTTTCAGGTATTCCAGTTGATGAATGTGTTTTTGTTCTGTTTTCAGGAGGGTGATGTTAAAGATTTCATGAACCTGATACCTGGGTATGAGTATAATTATTGGTCATGCAGTGTCGCGAGGCTTGACTATTCAGGGACTGGAGTAATTTCACGGGTATGGTATTTTTTTCGGTTAATGCTCAAGACTCATTTCACTCTGCATGCTTAATAGACATAGCATATCATTTGGTTTTGACTTGTGCCTTGCATTGCCCTCACAGGTAAAACCAATCTCTGTCCAATATGGAATTGGCATAGCTGAACATGATCAGGAGGGCAGGGTTATTACTTTGGAGTTTGAGAACTTTTACTTGGTGAATGCTTATGTCCCAAATTCTGGCCGTGGTTTACGTAGACTGGTATGACTGATCTTCCATTCCATTATTATTTCTGCTTTATGTTTTACTGCCATTGCTAATTTCCTTTTTCTTTCATTTGATCTTCAGGTTTACAGGGTTGATAGCTGGGATCCATCTTTCGCCGACTTTGTAGAAGTGCGTTCACTTTGCTAGCTTTCTGGTGTCATTTTTTGTTATATCTGTTGATCATATTTTGCATATTCAATATGTTTGTTATTCTATTGTTCTAAGTGCACATGAGGGATATTATTGTTGTTCTTATCTGCACTTTACCACAACTTCTGACCCCCATCTCCATCTTTTGTGATCTTTGAAAAGGTAGCTTTGCAACGCAAACTAACGTTAACCTTGTGTCTGTAGAAACTGGAAAGTTTCAAGCCAGTAATTGTTTGTGGTGATCTCAACTGTGCTCGTCAGAGTATTGACATTCACAATCCTCCAGTAAGTTCTCTTTCATCCCTGAAAGTTGCCATCTAAAAAATTCTATCCTTGTGCTTATACATTATAGTGTTGTCATTGCCCTTGTCTTCGTAAATATTAATAGTCTATTGAATACAAATGGCTTTGATAATTTTCATGGTTTTCACACATTATCCACCCATGAGAATTTCAAGTTTCAACTCTTTAGATGCATGTGTTTATAGTTTACTGCTGTATTGGAACTGATATTTCTGCATTTGGCTGCTCTATCATACCTTTATTGAGCTTCAACTCTCTAGATGTATGTGTTGCAGAATTGCCTCATTATGAAACTTTCCACGTTATCTTTCTTTTTTCTGTGATATGGAACATAACTCTTTTTGAACATGTATGGTTGCACATGAAGCTTACAGAAAGTAGAAAAAATGGTCCAGGCTGTGTATCGGTTTTCTGAACATATTATTTTCCGAGCAACATTGATAATCTCCAACTTGCCATGATTTAGAATCAGATGAGAACGTGAATGCTCTAAATTAAGTCCATGACTAATCCATATAGGGAGATCTGGAGAATCAGTAAATATTGATGGTTCAGTTAAAACTGAAAGTGACTATAAAAAAATACTCAGTTTCCAATATTGTTATAACAATCAATAAAAAATGTTTAGAGTTGCTGTTTGCACTACAGTTGCATCTCATGAGCATGGAACAGTTTAGGTTGTTCCAAAATTCTCTTATCATTACACAAGTTCCCTTTTTATTTCAATAGTCCATTGATGTAGTCTGGGCAGCTCCTTATTCAACACTGTTTTTCAGGCCAAAACTGAAGATGCAGGTTTCACAGAAGAAGAGAGGGAATCATTCCAGATAAACTTTGATATGAGAGGCTTCGTTGATACCTTCAGAAAGCAGCATCCCAAGGCTGTGGGTTACACCTTCTGGGGTGAAAATCAGCGGCGTAACGACAAAGGTACATCACTATCTTGGTGGATAAATTAATTACATAAACGAGGCAGTCTTGCATTTGCTTTCTGATTTCTGTTACCCTGGTACCAAGAAGGTATCACTGCATGCATGTCCTGAGAATCTTAGCATCTGTGAAACTAGCTATTCAATCATCCTCGAGTGAGGGATATTTCTCTGTACATTGAAATACAATAGGAAAGCAAAGAGCTTATATCAGTGGTTTATATATTTTCCAGAATTGAAGTATCTACCTTTCCCAAAATGATAGAAAAATTAAGGTTTTGTAATCTATCTAGAAAAAATAATGGTCAAAAGACTTGAGTTACAGCCCATGTATATTTGCGAAAACAAGAAACCTGATTCTTACTTTAAAAAAAAGTAGCAGAACTAAATGATTGTTTCTTTTTATCTTCTGTCAAAATGGAAGCTGAAGTCGTTATCCACTGAACAGGTTGGCGGCTGGATTACTTTCTTGCGTCAGGATCCATCATCGACAGGGTTCATGATTCGTACATCCTCCCGGACGTGACATCCAGCGACCACAGTCCAATTGGCCTTGTGCTCAAGCTCTAGCCTCTAGGCACCCTCAGTTGCTGGGGAAATGCTTCGTCAGGCTGAATCGTTTGCATAGTCAGTTTTTCCGTGGATTTTTTCTACTTAAAGGATCTACCTAGAGTAGTCTGTCAATGTTCTGCAGAGGTCTTGCGTATTTGTTATCTTAAGGCCTGTTCGGAGGCCCTCTGCTCCTCGACTCTGCTCACGGAGCTGCCGGGACCGTAGTTGAGAATTACGGAGCGGACGAATCGGTACTCCGCAGATCTTTCTATTTTGCGGAGCTGGTCGAGTGCCGAACGGGTTCTTACTATGTCATGTGCTCATTAAACTTTTGCAATGTGAATGGATTCTAAACCGGAGGTTGCTTCTACAACTGGGTTTCTCTCCACTAAGCCCGCTGTTAGAACTTTCTGATGGCTTTGTCATGTGCTTCCTTTTTGCTTTTGTTTGTTCGTTAGTTTGCTTGAGCCTCCAGGGAGGTGACTTTGCCATGTTTTTAAGCCCGCTGTCAGAACTTTCTGATGACTTGCCATGTTTTTTACAATCGAGCAGGACGCTTCTCAGCTGCTGAGAGACATAATTAACCTGATTTCAAGCATCGGGAGCAACCGGCACTACTGCACTCGGGCGTCTATTTGACTAAAAAGATTACTACTACCCCTGTTCCTAAATGCAAATGTTTTGAATGTTTCAATATGAACTACATATGGACTGAAATAAATGAATAAACACTAAGACGTGTCTATAATAAGACTATACATTTTTATATTTGAACATCTTATATTTGAGAACGAAGGAAATACTAAATAAACTTGACTATTTTGAATACTCTGGTTGTTAAGGAAGTTCAGTGCTGTCCATTCCTATGTAAGAGCATCTATAGCCAGATACAACAAATCTGATCCCTCAAAACGCCCCCGGGCGCATGCATTCAGGCGCGTCCGTGGGAAGTGACCAGTCAGACCTCAAATTAACGTTTCCACAACTGGATACCTTAACTATGAGGCCTCTAATCCGTTTAATTACATGCAACGTGATACCTAATAGAAACGGAGCTCGTCCGGCTCTGCCATGCCCATGTGTGGCGGCCGGCTACGGCCCTCGAAGTGTTGCTCCGGTCGCTGGCGACATAGAATAGGACAAGAGACACGGATCGGCTCACGGGACTCGAGGCGCTGCCATCTCTCATGCCCTACTCCTCGCCAGAGTCCCTCGTCTGCACGTCGCCGGTGGATGTAAGGTTGATGATGGATCCTTCGTGGTCGGAGGCCGGCACGTCCACCACGACAAGGTTTCGTTGCTGGGGGTTGCAGGCCGGTCGGATTGGTGCCGAAGAGTGTGACTCCACCTCGCCACGCCATGTTAACCTCTAACGCAAACAGGCCACAGAGGGCCTCCGACTCGGCGCACAAACATAAGGGGCTGCGCGTCCGCTACGATTTTCGAACGCCAGACGGAGCGCACCGCTTCCGGAGAGTGAACGGTGGCGCGCCTTGCGTCGGATCTAAGTGCCATTTGGGCGTACGCTATGAATTCTCGCCAGATCGAGTCGTCCCGTTGTTGGGCGTTCTCCTCGCGGGCGCGGCGAAGCATGATGAGGACGACCATCTCCTCCTCCGGCCCGACTAGGATGAGATGGTGGCGAAGGACTTGGGTCCGCTGCCCGCCATCCTGGAGAAGGCCGGAGATCGCCGAAAGTGAGCTTGGGGGCAGAGGAGAAGGGAGTTGTTAGGGCAACCAGATGAAGTCAAATATATCAAATATATGTGGGATCAGGGTGGGCTGAATCCGACGTGGCAGATGCGTCGGGTCTCCCCATATCCGCTCTAGATTTGGATTAGATGTGAGGAATGCCGGTCAGTCACTTTTTTTTAACTGGTCCGTCCACCCAGGCGTTTTAGTCAAGTATGAGGCCCGGCTGTAGATGCTAAGTGTGACAGAGTTGTTTTAAACCTCACTTTGTGCACATAAACAAAGTATCTTGAAATATGCAGATCAAATTCACGGTAATTAATCTCTTATACTCCCTCCGTTCACTTCTGTAAGACCTTTTAGACATTTAAGACAGCAACTAAAACAGTTTAATTTCAGCTGTCCTAAACGACTTACAAAAGTGAACAGAGGAAGTACAAGAGATTGTTGTTTATAAGAGTATTAGATTCGGAGCGATAAAACACGCTGAAATTAAGAGTTGACAACGCCGGTGCTGCAATACAGCCAGTAAACAGAACTAGGCTCAAAACATATGTACACAAGGCGCAAATCACTGTGACAAAACAGTTACTATCTACAAGAACGTCACATAACCTACAGGGGTCCTTCCGCATTTACCAACGCAAAATGGCACCTCCAAAACGGCCAAATGGTCTTCATCATCCTTCTCACATTGCCAGTGACTGGTTGGAATAACCAGGCTGCTCATAAGAGTACTGCATGCCATCTCTCACTCGGCAGTGCCTCCAGCCATTATTCGCGCCGCCATGCTCGTCGGCCTGGTACTTGGATTTCATGGCCTTTGAGCTGATGGGACCCCCTCGGTCTCTGTTCCTGCTGTTCCGCCTGCCCGACTGGCTGTTTCGCCGTCTCCAGTGCCCGTCTGAGCTGCCCTGAGCCTGGTTGTCAGACACACAGTAGCTATCTTTCTGGTCGCCCCATGAATCTGTCTGAATAGCTGGGGAGCCCCAGCCATAGTCATGGTTCCATGGGTCACCACTATTCATGCCCCAATTGGATGTGCAGGGCATGATCGGCGCCGCCCAGCCGCTTGTCTGACCTTGCTGTTCCACATAAGTGTCCCAGTTTCCTGAGCTTTGCTGAACAAATGTTTCAGCAGGCTGACTGACATAACTGTCCCAGTTCCCCGAGCTTTGCTTGCAATTTGCTTCAAGGAGCTGTTGTTCCACATGATTATCCCAGTTCACAGAGCATTGCTGACCGATAGTGTTGGTTGTGTCCCCATCACCCCATCCCGTGGCTGGAACTGGCTTGTCTGCAAAAATGAAGGAGTCCCAGCAATCTGGGGCGGTGTTGTCCCTTCTAGGAGCACGGCGCCGTGACCTCTCCAGATCAGCAACCAACTCAGGATCGATATATTCATCTGGGTTGACCACATCAATGTACATGTCTGGGTCAGGCAATGGGATGTAACAAGGTTGACCATGATATGCAGCACAGAAACGGTCCTTGGCATCTTTGAAAGCCTCGAATGCACCTGAATCATCCCAGTCAACAATATTCGTGTACAATGACATCAGTTTCTTGGCCTCACATAGCTTACCCCAGGGTATAGAACAAGCATCAATGCAAAATTTCTTCTCCCATAGTGGAACAGACACATTTCCACCACCTGAAAGTCAAACACAAACCATGCTTTATGAGTACAAGGAACTAATCTCTGATGTATAGAAAACACAACTTCTATTTGTTCCAAAGAACACTGATCAGAAAAGGAACACAACGAAATAGAGCAGCTAAAATTATAAATGAGCAGCCAAAAGGATAAGGGACCAACTAACAATGATGAAAATACAAAGTAGTAGTTTATGCACACAAATAAAGTAACCATGGTGCTTTAACTTATAAATGTTGAACTTATAAATGTTGATAGAAGGGCATGAAGCTGTGCAAGTTTGGAAAATGTCAATTAACAAGATATTTAGTACTAAAATGTGAGAAGCGAGAAGGCACTGCCAAATTTCTCACAGAGCAGGTTCAGCTTAGTTGCAAGAACTTTTTAGCATCCCGTGCATGTTCTAACATAGTCTCATGTTCATATATTCAGAAATTTCAGTATGTCGCAGGAAAGACAAATTCCAAAAACATGAGGGGATTAGGGCATCTTCATTTGCGTAGGGCATATAAAATAAGAAAGAAGCTTAGCGCTTTCTAACCCAACGGCAAGCGCTAACGAGGGGTGCTAATTAATCGCAGACAAAAACAACAAAGCCTTTAGTCCCAAACAAGTTGGGGTAGGCTAATTAATCACAGAACTAGCAGAAAAACCGATTGCTACATGCATGGCTGCGGAAAAATAAGGCAAAGCGCCCGCCTCCAGCTTTTGCGTAGCTGCCAGGTTAGACGCTAGGATTTTGTAGTCTAACTGCCGATCAAGCAGGATATTTATCCTAGCGCCCTGGCCTAGCGCCTGGCGTTGTAGATGCCCTTAGGGCATCTCCATTGCTGGGCGCCTACGTAGACGCTTATGAATAAAAAGATAATTCTCAGAAAATAGGAAAGAAGCTTAGCGTTTTCTGACCCAACGGCAAGCGCTAATGAGGGGTGCTAATTAATCGCAGAACTAGTAGAAAAACCAATCGCTACATGCATGGCTGTGGGGAAAAAAGGCAAAGCGCCCGCCTCCAGCTTTTGCGTCGCTACCAGGTTAGACGCTAGGATTTTGTAGTCTAACTGCCGATCGGACAGGATATTTATCCTATCGTCCAGGCCTAGCGCCCGGCATTGTAGATGCCCTTATAGGATACCAAATAACTCATTACAAACAAAGAGAACTTCCAAAGAGCTCATCCAGTGTTGTACACAGAAACATCATATTAAACTCTTTACTTGAGCACTGGCAGAGCACTTGAATGGGATGATGAGTGGTTGAACCCTATCTATTTTTACAAGACTTAAAATGTTGAGCAGTCATTAGTATCACTGAAACATAATTCTCCTGTTTAGCAAAATATGATATCATATCAGCATTCTTGCAAAACTGCAAAGAACACTCACACAGATAATTCTTCTAAACAATTCGCATTGAAAGATCAGAGCTCCGTTGAACATGTAATGATCAAGCGATGTGTTAAACTCGACAGTTTCACAATGCAGACCAAAGTTACTAACTAGGGGTTCAAATATACGCCTAAACACAAACAAATAGTTGACGCATAAACATTTGTTAAACATTAGCTCTACAATTTCTTAGATGCGGATTCATATTTTCATCAATCCAAGCTAAGCAAATGCACAAGCATCATTAGACCCATGAAGCAAGCAGTAAACCAGCATAAGTATCCACGCACGTCATTTTCCTTGCAGTGTCGGCGCATACTACTACTTGCATGATGTTACTACCCACATGCCGACCGAATTTTACCCAAAATGTCAGTTACCGCGTCTCGACACTGCAAGGAAGACACGGATCGTGAAAGGGAGAGTGTAGCCTACTCCCTGCGCATTCTTCTAGATTTCCAACTCAGGAAAGGAAAGGGGAAAACGACGCGACCCCTCCAAGCCAAACGGCAAGCGCGGAAACAGACAAGGCTGCGAACAAGACGAGGACGGATCAGGAGACGCACCGTGAGCCTGGGAACGCGGAGGCCTCCAGCACCTGCCGGCCTCGGCCGCCGCCCTGTCCCAGTCCCTGTAGCCGGACCGCCTCTCCGCCATGGACGAACCGCCGGAGAACCGGGACGCCCCGCTCGCCAAGCCGGGAGCTTTCCGCCCTCGGCCCTAGATACCACCACCGGGGCACGCGGCGAGGCGCCCTCGGCCCTCGGGGACCCGTCGATTGGACGGGCCGCCCCCGCGCGCCGGAATCGTGGCAGCGAGGGGCGGAGGCGATCCGGGAGCCCCGAACGGCGCGCGCTCGATCGAGCTGGATGCTAGGGCCGGCGGTGGTGAGCCGATTGGGCGGCGAGAGCGACGCGGCCGCGGGGACCGGGGAGGCGATCGAGATGCGGGCGGTGGCGGGGCGGTTTGGGTGCGGGTGCCGCCGTTGGTTTCGCGGCCGGAGGGGACGGGAGGGTGAGGGGGCGGATTAGAAATAAGGAATTCGTGTGCGTGTGCGCTTTGCCGGTTCGGATGCGTGTCAGAGACGAAGACGGGTGTTGTATGCCACGAGCGCGCGGACAAAACCGACCAAATATGACACGGTCTAAAATTTCGTACTCCACTCTGACTCTTTTGCCCATGTCTCTAGTCTCAACTTGGCTATGTCGGATGTCTCATCAAAAAGAAAAAAGAAAAACTACGTCGGCAACATTACTTTGGCGTTGCAAGAGAAAAAGGCTAGAGTTGGATCATACTCCCTCCGTTTTAAAATAGATAACTTAACTTTATATTAACTTCTTGCGATCGACATCCGTCACTCCACATGATATCATGTTTTTAAGAACACGCAAACCGTGTATCATATTTTTTATAAAAGAAAGCAAAAAAATTACAAAGAAGGTATACCACAATGAATTCAAAGTAGCTAGCCATCTTCACATCGAGGATAACAAGAACTACTCCCTCACAAAACTATCTAAGCACACTGCATTCGTAGCCCTTCATTATATAAGTTCATCTTTCATTCACATTGTTAATGCAATTGATGATTGTTGTTTCTTTATACTGTTAAACACACGAGCATTGCGTGGTTTCCACAGGCTCCAAGCGATGAGAGTGGCAATATAATCGAAGCCTTTCCTTCATCTTTTAGGAATCAATCTTATGGATCTCAACTACCACTCCTCGAGGCAATCGGTGGTCAATGATGTTGACCTTCTCCAACACAAGAGGAGCAAAATCTACGATGCCTATGCCATTGATCCATCGATCTCTCCAGAAGAGCACATATCTCCCATCTCCAATAAAGATGCGGACCAGACCGTCGAACACTTGTCTCGCCTTGTCATTATTGAGCGGTGGCAGCCCCTGCCAAGGTCTAAGTTGGTCGGATCTATGCAACCATTCCCATCTCACATGCAAAGCCAGGGCTTGAATATGAAGATCTTTGACACCTAAGCCACCAAAACAGGTTGGTCTACAAATCCAGCTCCAAGCCACAATGCCACCATTTACCTTGTGAGAACCAGCCCGGAAAAAAGCTCGCATCCATTTGTTGATTTCTTCAAAAACCCAAACCAACGGGTCTGGCACCAGGAGATGATGAGTGGGCTTAGCTGCGATGACATATTTGACAAGAATCAAGCGCCCGGGTCTGGTGATCAAGCCACGTTACCATGCTAGAACAAATTCCCTAACACAGTCAAGCATGGGCTGCCATTGCACTCTAGTGAGCTGGATAATACCTAGTTGAAGGCCCATATACTTTGTTGGAAATCATAGTAGAATACAAAACAAAATCTTCCCTATGAATCAAGAACCAGGATCATTATGAAGATGCATACAAGGTTAGATCTGATCGTTACCAAATTTGAGTTGCAGCAAAAGAAGAGTAGATGAAGATCGTTCTTAAAGTCCATCGAACCATCCCACGGACGGTCCCTCGAACGAAGATCGAAAGCATGATCTCTCTATGGATTGCACACGTACGAGATCGACGACCCGGCAGCGCTTCACCGTCCAAAGATAGGCATTGCCACAGAACTAGAGGAGGGAGGAGCAGCCTCGCGGAGTCTCTATTTTTCCAGAGAACTAGAGAGAGGGAGAGTCGGAGATAACAAGAGAAGTTCTGTCTCAATAAGCCCCCCTTGGGTATATATAGGTGGAGGGAGGGGGGAGGATGACTTGGAGGAGGGGGGCAGCCTATGGAACCTAGAATAATTCCAGGGGCTCCCGATAAATCCTGAAGACCGTATACATAATTATTTCTCCTCTTGGAACTTTTCCACCTCTCCCATTTTTTCTGTTTTCTTCGAAATGCTTTTGATTTCCCAAAACACTTTCGGTTCTCTTTCAAAACAATCTCCGCCACCTCCGAAACTTTTCCGGTGATATTCTCCCAAGATCCTAACCCTCTCTCAAAGTAGGCTTTCGCCCCGCTTTATAAATAAAGCAACGGTCCACACGATCCAAGTTCGACCAACACCCGACAAATAACGGCTGGGGCCACAGCACAATCAAGCCCAAGAAAGTATAAAAGAAATAGAAAAAAAGAGCCACCTAGTGGCAACCGCATAGAGACACTACGGGGACGATAGTCGACGCGCCGAAGCCAAAAGTGCATCCATCATCAGGCCAAGGCGATCGCGATCATGCTGCCTCGAGAGCAGGTGCCAGTGCTGCAAGAAAGCAAGGAATTTGAAGGAGTCAGATGCCTTCTTTGGGAAAACCTTCTCAATCACCATCTTATTCCTAGTCGTCCAAAGAGTCCACGACATCGCCGCAAAAATAAGCCAAAATAGGCAGCGATGCCGTGACGGCTGTAGAGATCTAAGCTGGAGAAACTCCGCGAGATTTAGGGCTTCCCAGTCAGGCCCCAATGCCTCGCGGACGTATGTCCATAATACCCTTGCTTTCGTACACGAGAAGAGGATATGGGTCCCAGTCTCAGGTACTGCACAGAGAGGGCATAGACCATCGCCAGGTTCGTGCCGCTTAAGTACCTCCGTCCCCGAGGGGAGACGATCCCGTAGAAGTTGCCAAACAAAAATCTTGATCTTTAAAGGGACGGGGTTTTCCATAGAGGGGAAAGCCAGGGAGTAGTTGGAGGCGGGCAAAGGGCATGGTATGCCGTGCTCATTGAGAACTCCACCGTCGGCATGGGCCGCCATGAAACTGTGTCCGGATAATTTGGAAGCACGAGTGGCAGGGCGGCCCGCAGTCTAGTCCAGTCGTTACTCTCGGCTTGTCCGAAGGTGCGACGAAACCCAAGGTTCCACTGTCCATCTTGGAAGGCAGTGGCCACTAGAACAGATGGATCCACATGTTGGAAATATGCCCTAGAGGCAATAATAAAATGGTTATTATTATATTTCCTTGTTCATGATAATTGTCTATTGTTCATGCTATAGTTGTATTAACCGGAAACCGTAATACATGTGTGAATACATAGATCGTAATATGTCCCTAGTAAGCCTCTTGTTGACTAGCTCGTTGATCAATAAATGGTCATGGTTTCCTGACCATGGACATTGGATGTCATTAATAACGGGATTACATCATTAGGAGAATGATGTGATGGACAAGACCCAATCTTAAGCATAGCACAAGATCATGTAGTTCGTTTGCTAAAGCTTTTTTAATGTCAAGTATCATTTCCTTAGACCATGAGATTGTGCAACTCCCGGATACCGTTGGAATGCTTTGGGTGTACCAAACGTCACAACATAACTGAGTGGCTATAAAGGTGCACTACAGGTATCTCCGAAAGTGTCTGTTGGGTTGGCACGAATCAAGACTGGGATTTGTCACTCCGTATGACGGAGAGGTATCTCTGGGCCCACTCGGTAATGCATCATCATAATGAGCTCAATGTGACTAAGGAGTTAGCCATGGGATCATGTGTTACAGAACGAGTAAAGAGACTTGCCAGTAACAAGATTGAACGAGGTATGGGGATACCGACGATCGAATCTCGGGCAAGTAACATACCGATAGACAAAGGGAATTGTATACGGGATTGATTGAATCCCCGACATCGTGGTTCATCCGATGAGATCATCATGGAACATGTGGGAGCCAATATGGGTATCTAGATCCCGCTATTGGTTATTGGCCGGAGAGATGTCTCGGTCATGTCTGCATGGTTCCCGAACCCATAGGGTCTACACACTTAAGGTTCGGTAACGCTAGAGTTGTTATGGGAATAGTATGTGGTTACCGAAGGTTGTTCGGAGTCCCGGATGAGATCTCGGACGTGACGAGGAGTTCCGGAATGGTCCGGAGGTGAAGATCGATATATTGGACGAAGGGTATTGGAGTCCAGAATTGTTCCAGGGGTACCGGGTGACGACCAGCGTGTCCGAAAGGGGTTTCGGAGCCCCCGACAAGCGTTGGGGGGCCTTATGGGCCAAGGGGAGGGGGCACATCAGCCCACTAAGGGGCTGAGCGCCCCTCCCACCCCATATCACGTAACCTGGAGAGGTGGGGGGCGCCTCCCCTAGGGCAGCCACCCCTCCCGGCTTGGGGGCAAGTTTCCTAGGGGTGGGGGCGCCCAAACCCATCTAGGGTTTCCCCTGTGGCCGCCGCCCCTACCCTAGGGAAACCCTAGGGTGCCTCCTCCTCCCCCTTCCCCTATATGTAGTGAGGGAGAGAGAGGGCAGCCGCACCATTCCCCTGGTGCAGCCCCTCCCCCTCTCCTACACCTCCTCCTCCTCCTCCGTAGCGCTTGGCGAAGCCCTGCCGGAGAACCACGAGCTCCATCACCACCACGCCATCATGATGTCGGAGTTCTCCCTTAACTTCTCCTCTCCCCTTGCTGGATCAAGAAGGAGGAGACGTTCCCGGGTTGTACGTGTGTTGAACGCGGAGGCGCCGTTGTTCGGCACTTAGATCGGAATCGACCGCGATCTGAATCGCTGCGTGTACAACTCCACCAACCGCGTTCTTGTAACGCTTCCGCTTAGCGATCTTCAAGGGTATGAAGATGCACTCCCTCTCTCTCATTGCTAGTATCTTCTAGATTGATCTTGGTGACACGTAGGAATTTTTTTGAATTATTGCTACGTTTCCCAACAGTGGCATCATGAGCTAGGTCTATGCGTAGATTCTATGCACGAGTAGAACACAAAGCAGTTGTGGGTGATGATTTGTTCAATTTGCTTACCGTTACTAGTCTTATCTTGATCCGACAACATTGTGGGATGAAGCGGCCCGGACCGACCTTACACGTACGCTTACGTGAGACTGGTTCCACCGACTGACATGCACTTGATGCATAAGGTGGTTGGCGGGTGTCCGTCTCTCCCACTTTAGTCGGATCGGATTCGATGAAAAGGGTCCTTATGAAGGGTAAATAGCAATTGGCATACCACCGTTGTGGTTTTGCGTAGGTAAGAAACGTTCTTGTTAGAAACCCATAGCAGCCACGTAAAACATGCAACAATAATTAGAGGACGTCTAACTTGTTTTTGCAGGGTATGCTATGTGATGTTATATGGCCAAAAGGATGTGATGAATGATATATGTGATGTATGAGATTGATCATGTTCTTGTAATAGGAATCACGACTTGCATGTCGATGAGTATGACAACCGGCAGGAGCCATAGGAGTTGTCTTAATTTATTTATGACCTACTTGTCAATGAAAACGCCATGTAATTACTTTACTTTATTGCTAACCGTTAGCCATAGTAGTAGAAGTAATAGTTGGCGAGGCAACTTCATGAAGACACGATGATGGAGATCATGGTGTCATGCCGGTGACGATGGTGTTCATGCCGCGCCTCGAAGATGGAGATCAAAGGAGCAAGATGATATTGGCCATATCATGTCACTTTATGATTTGCATGTGATGTTTGTCATGTTTACATCTTATTTGCTTAGAACGACGGTAGCATAAATAAGATGATCCCTCACTAAAATTTCAAGAAAGTGTTCCCCCTAACTGTGCACCATTGCGAAGGCTCGTTGTTTCGAAGAACCACGTGATGATCGGGTGTGATAGATTCTAACGTTCGAATACAACGGGTGTAAGCCAGATTTACACATGCAGAACACTTAGGTTGACTTGACGAGCCTAGCATGTACAGACATGGCCTCGGAACACGAGAGACCAAAAGGTCAAATATGATTCATATAGTAGATACGATCAACATGGAGATGTTCACCGTTGATGAATAGTCCGTCTCATGTGATGATCGAACACGTCCTAGTCGATTCGGATCATGTATCACTTAGATGACTAGAGAGATGTCTATCTGAGTGGGAGTTCATTGAATAATTTGATTAGATGAACTTAATTATCATGAACATAGTCTAAATTGTCTTTGAAAATTATGTTGTGGATTAATAGCTCGCGCTTTAGCTCTTTGTTTTAATACGTTCCTAGAGAAAGACTAAGTTGAAAGATATTGTAAGCAATTGTGCGGACTAGGGCCGTAGTCTGAGGATTGTCTTCACTGCTACACAGAAGGCTTCTGTCCTTGATGCACCTCTCGGTGTGCCAACCCCTCTGGCATCGTCTGTGGATGTTGTGAACATCTGGTAGACACA